AAATTCTGAAATGTTTCATCTTTTGCATAGGATGGATCCAAATGTTAAAGTTTGGATTCATCATAACATCTAAACATGAGGTGATAAAAATAGATATTGGTACTGTATTTGAAACTAAAATAAACTTTATCTATAAATTACACTGAAAACAATATAGGGCATTTCTTATAATTACACTCAAAGAGAGAGTTAATTCTTCAATAGAAGAAAAACGTGCAACCATCACGAAACTTAAATGTATCAATGACCTTGTCTAGATCAGTGGAAAGAAGGCACAAAGAAACTTGTCAAGCATCAGCAAGACAAAAGCACATAAGTTACTTTGGACAACTCTCTATGACGAAATCAAAAAAGATTAAAGAACTTGAATCATTGTTACAAAGTTGTACATTTGTACAGGACAGAATGTAACATTTAATCTACTTGGAGAAGCTTGAGTCCCAAGTTTTCAAGTTAAGTTTAAGTGACCAAACACCATAGATATATAATTTCCATCCGTGAAATATGATCCAGAGCATGATTGTCTCTGATATTTTTATCTTTTGACCATGGTGTGCCCCCTAAGATCCTTTCGCCTGTTTTCACATACCATCTTTGTTCCGGTTTCGTTTATGGCTCTGTCAATCTTGCATTACACTCTTTCTCCATTTTCCTCACAAAGTTTACCAACAAGCTCCCGAGATGAGTAACACCTCCTAATACCCTCTCCACAATAAGATTGTATGTCCATTCCCGTCCCTGAAAGAAAAAGATACTTACCATGTGTAAGGAGATAAGCTCCAGAGCCTTCACAGCTTTTCATGAAACTGCCAAGCTTCAGTTTCGCCTTCACAAGGAGGTACTTGGTTTACGTGATGCTTTGGTCGAGTTAGTTAGAAGTCCCTAACTTCAAGCTGTTTTAGCTATAAGATGAAACAAAAAAACTATGAACTAAAAACTATAGTACCTACGAACATCATGCTTCGTAAGGCACTCTCCAGGTACTTCAAATGAGTAGTGCAAGAGGAAGTGCCAGAGTAATACTGAACTCGGGGCGGAAAACTTCTTGAGAGGCAGCCACGTCTCCACACTTCCTATAGAATGTGATGAGTGAGCACGCAAGTAGTGGATTCCGTCCAGATTTCTCTTCCAGATCTGCGAGTGGAGCCTCTTCGCCTAAGTCGCCCCGTGCCTTGAGCGCCACCACGAAAGTCTGAGCGTTTGGCTGCCGGCTTGCTCATAGCGCTCGAGAGCAAAGGTTGTTCTCGGTGTATCCCAGGAAACGACGTTTTGCTGCTCCATGCAAAGTCTCAGCGTTTGGAGGTAGGCCAGCTTCTCGTTGCATCCGATAGAAGAAGTGCATGTCCCATGACGATCGTGTTCCAGGCATGTTTCTTCGTCCTCCCGAACACTTCTGACGCTTCCACATGTCCACGAGGCTGCTTGCGACAAATGAATCTGCTTCGTATTCACAATTTGTGAGGCGAGAGTGTTGCTTTCCAGGTAGACCAACCTATCCTGTTCTTCGTCCCATCTTGTCGAACAACCTGTGTTGCAAGCCGCAGTGTAGACTTCGACCATACTTTCACAATTGCACTTGCTTGATTCCCGGCTTATGATGCTCTTGACTCTGGAGAAACTTATCTGGCCACTATGCCCTGTACTGCTTCTTCTCATCGAAGTTGAGATTTGAGCGCCTGCAAGAATAGAGAGCAAAAGTAGTACGTTACATTTTCTCAAACCTTTCGTCTCGAGCAACCTCTCTGGCCTTTGGAGGTGCACCAACGTCTGCTCCCTTGTCACCTCTAGAGGATAGCTCGTAAATCCTTCATCAAATCGAAACTTGGTAGGTTCTTGCTCTGCCTTCCAATCCATGTTCCGAGCCAGTTGTGTCATAACTTCCAAGTCTGGCGACTTCCACCAGTCAACCCTTGTATGTGATCTCTGGGTGAGATCACCGTCAGTGAGCAAGAACCTACTGTCTTCTTGCTCTGCAACCTCATCTCCTTGAAGATTGATTCTACACAATCTTCCCTGTGACAACACATGCACTGTGCTGACTTACGTGTCACTGCCAGTGTTGGCAGGACACTTTGTGGAGAATTCCAGTGTACCATTGCTGTGGGAACCACGAGTGTGAGCATCCAGCTGTTTCTTCTCAGTCGGAGAATCGTCCACCACATCTGCCACCCGGGCTCCTGAAAGATCGCATTCCTGCGCTGCTTCCTTTGAGATAACATGCATCGCTCAATCACGAAATGCTCTCCACAGTATAGGTATGATATTTCAAAAAGAGAAATGGATATCTTTCCAATCCTAATGTCCTACTTGCAGTGACACGCCACTTTGCATACTTTGAATAACGAAACTCTTTTTTTCTCGTTTTTCAACTTAGCACTCATTGAATGGGATCATGGAGACACAAGCCATCAGCGTGCACAAACTACTTCCTCTGCAGAAAACTGGGGAAAGAAACACGAGATAAATATCTATCCATTGCTGTTTTGATAGTCTCACGGTGCCCAACTGAAAGCATGAGACTGATAGATGCAAAAATGCAAGTTGGATTATCTTTGTCATGTAGATGGCATCCTTGTTGTCTTCACGCTCCTGCCTACCAGTATTCTTTTTCTCGGCCGGTGGAGGTCTCTTATTATGGTTGCCTCTATTGCAGACACAACATATCAAAGTAGTTTCCATAATGTCAGAGGCAAAAGCAAAAGAATTAACCCATCTGGGTACTGGAATAAAAGCCAGTTTGTCACAGACGGTAGAGCAGCAATCCAGTGACCCAACAGTGGAGGGAATTAGCACCATCCGGTTTTACTTCTTCATCGTGGATCCTTAGCTCCTCAAGAGGTCAACCATAGTCAACACCAGTAAAATCGGTCAAAACTCTTGGAATGATTGAAAATAGTTGGAGATGCTAGGTATCAATCCCGGTGCCTCTCGCATGCTAAGAAAGCACTCTACCATCTGAGTTACATCCCCTTAGCATAGAAACAAAAATGCAAGGCTTTTCTCTTCACCAGTCTAGTACTCATCCTTGGAGATTCTGGTGTCTTTTGTCGCATTTCAAAAGTTTTTTGATTGATTCTAGAGCTCTCAGTTATGCTGTGTAGTGTTAGTTATCCGGTTAGTTGGGTAAAATTGATGTATTTGGAGTCTTAAACTTTAGTTGAAAGAAGCTTTAAATTTGAAAAGGACACTTTACAACAATAACAACAAAATAAACATTAGCACTTTCTCAAGAAATTCTAAAAATGAGAAAAAATAAATATGTGAAAATTACAAATGCATAATTATATGAAGCAAAGGCAACATACTCAAGGGCATTATAGTTAAAGGCAAAAGTTAAAAGTCTTAACATTATACCATCATTACAAGTATATAATTCTCAATTATAGAATTGATACTATAAATAAAAAGATTTACAACATCACAATAAACTAATGCCTATACATATACTACTTTTGGTGAGTCTTTAATCCCTTATAAACATATGCATTTTATATATTTTATGGTTTTTGGGATGGATCCAAATGTTAAAATTTGGATTCACTGCAATATCTTGATATGAGGGGTTTATGATATTGAAAAAGAACTAGATATTGGTATTGTATTTGAATTTGATATATATTTATAAATAAACTTTTACTTATAAATAACAAAGGACATTCTTTAAAGTTACACTCAAATGGATTTTATAATAGTAATTGTATATTTAGTAATACTAAATATAGTGAATTTATTCTTTAAATTACAAAAATATTGCCACTCAGATATAAATATTATTTAAATTTCAGTTTTTAAAAAAAATACCTGTTTAATAAAAATATTGCCACAAAAAAATTAAGAAAATATCCTTTCGTGTACCAGAATATTTTTAAAATGTTCTTAGTGACTCCTTTTGCTCTCTATATTATCAGATCTGTATAGGACTACATTAAGTTGTACATTCTTGAGGTCAGTAGGAAGGCATTGATTTGCTTGTTACAACTTACAAGTTCCAAATGCATTAGTTTGGTTTTGGTACAAGATCCAGGCAGGACAACATGCTTGGAATACAAGGAATGGAGAGAGGCCACCTTGAAACAAAATCCATCACCTAGCAAGCTTTTAATAATTAGTTTCTTTGAATTGATCAAGCATGCCTAATATCTCTATTTGTTTGTTCAGAAAAGCAAATGCACTTAAATTTTGAAAGAATGTGAAGGTGACGTTTCCAGTTTTGAGATTTTGTAAGAATAAAAAGTTACTCATTTTAAAAGACTTTTAGCTATACAAATATGTAGCTAAATATGTTTACTAGCAAACCAAAATACCAAATAATATTAGTGTTTAGGCAATTTGATTGGTACAAAAGACCATTTTATATTGTGTTGGTTTTACCAATTGCTTTACTCATCCTCTTGCATAACACTGCAAAGCAAAACACTATCCCTTTTCCTCCTCCTCTTGTGAATACTATTACTATATTATGTATTATTATTATAAGCATTAGTAACATTCTTCATGGTTGCCTGCAGATTCAGCTGCTTGGCTATAGAAACTTGCTGGAGATGGTGGTCTTTCCAAAGCTCATCTCTCAAAAGGCTCTTGAAATGCAACAAAAGCTGCCAGAATCTCCAAGGATGAGTATTAGCAAATCTTCAGGTGGTGGTGATGGATCATCAAAATGATGCTTACTACTAATAAACGGTATTAGTTTTCATGTGTGGTTGCTTTGCTATAGTGATGTTAGCAGATGAAAAGCCTCACTCAATGCCCGCTCGCTCGTAAACACTGTAACCAAGTGTAGCCACGGTAGATTCGCCTAACGATGGCAAGGCCATGTCCTGATCGGAAAGACACTTGTGACGAGAACGTAGGGAACGAAGGCTAGCTTTTCTACTTAATTCGATTTGTTCCTACTGCCTCTGATGGCCGAAGTGACCTTACTTAGGATCACGCTTCTGACAAAGTCTATTTCTTTTTCTCTTCTCTCACTGTTTGGCGTATCACAGCGATTTAATCCTGCTTCGATCGTATCCGCATCTGGACGTCACCATGACATTTGAGCTTGATCTTACAGAAGGCATGATCCTCGTCATTCCTCCTCACTGAACTTGTCGTAGCCGACGCAGTAAACAACGTTCCACCACAAGCACGTCTTGAGATCATTGAGCAGAGCAGATCTGATGTCTTGCTCTTGATTCCCGAGGCTTTTGGTAGCTACGTTGATCTGGATGAGACTTCTCTGGGAAGTCTTTGGAAGCCTCTGGCACTGCGTTGTGGAAACGCTTTTCCTGCTGCCTTGACTTTGGAACCGCTTCGCTGGAGCTCTTCGTTGCCTCGCCATCCTCAGTCGCTGATGTCGGAGGCTTCAGCCTTGATCTGGTCCGCGTTTTTTGCTCGTGACGTATTCCTTCGTCTCCACAAGCTCGCAAATTCTTCCCAGGACCAGGAAATAAGCATCGTCTGCATAGTCGAAACAATGTAGAGCATCAAGAGGATGGAAGTCACGGCCGTCTTGGCCGTCTGTGTAGCTGCTAGTGGCGAGTAGAGATCGTACGCTGCTTACTTTGTGATGTCCGTTATCTGGGACGCGAACTTCTCTCCTTGATCCTGGGAAGTCAAGCTCTCGAGAACTTTGATATCCAGGTGTGAGTTCAGCTCACTCATGTTTGGATCGTGAGCACCGGTTCCTCTTCTCATACTCTAGTGTCCATTTCCGCTTTATCCTCGCGCCAGCACCTCGTACAGTGAGAAGAACTAAAGAAAAGAACAAGAGAAACTTACATTGCATTCAAGTGTGACTTTTCCACCACAGAGAGCTCCAATCGCGTCCTTCAAGCCTCATTAATGTGTAAAACCAGCTTCTCGCTTCTCTTTGGTTCGTACATTGGCAACGAGTAGCCGGAAAAAAAAAATTCCCCGCGTTCCTGGGAGCCATTTAAATAAACTTTGGTCACTAACGAAGCTCGTAAAGCTTACTCTATCAGACGTGTCGCAGTCCCAAGAAGAGCTTCCTGTCGTGAGGTAAAAGACGAAGAAACCATGGTCGTCGTGGCTCAAACTTCACACTCTAAAAGCCTGAAAGAAGAAAGTGACCAGGAATACTCCACTCAATCGTACCGCTTCGTATAAATACTGCTGGTCGGTAAAAGAAATCAGCTGAGCAGTCCGCCACCTATCTCGGCTTTGCTGCTCGATTCGTTCTCGTCGAGCTTCCGGAATCCGGACAGTGTCTCCCCGGCAGCACCGATCTATCCTTGCGTAGGGGACGTCCTGGAAATCAAGTGCCACAAGAACGCAAAGATCCCAAAGGGACAGACTACGAGAGCTGGAGAAGCTCTCGCCACGGTCTGGGCTAAAGACTAGAAAAGGAAAACTGTTACCGGAGAGAGCGATCCATCGCCGGAGGCTTTTCTGGATTGGAAGATGTCGGCGATCAGTCACTGGAGGAGTACAAGAGCGTATATTTCACCTGCATTGCCCCGATCGAGCGCGCTTCAAAAGAAAGCCGAGACCTTTCCTCCGGCAGGGTAGCCGCGCTCCCGGCGATCAAGAAAACGCGCTCCCTTGCAGAAATCCCTAAAAAGAAAAAAAAAACCACGAACGAGAGAGAGAGAGAGAGAGAGAGAGCGAGCGAGAATGAGAATGAGAATGAGCTTCGTTTCTCTCCTGCTTGTGCTTGCTTCTGGGATTTCGATTGCCCGGATTTTCGTGGAGAGCATCGTCCCCAGCTCCGTCTTTGACCAGGCTCTTTCTGTCTCGCAGCCTCCGACGTGGGCTTACTGGATGGGAATCGCATCGACCATCGTCTCGTTTCTCGCAAGCTTGCCGGTCGTCTTGGTTGCTTTCGATGAATTTCCAGCCCGCAGTCCAAGCTGAGGAGGTCGAAAATCCAGTGCCAGTCGGATCGGTGGCAGTGCTAGCCACGAGCACGCTCGGATTTTTCCACTTTCTTGCGACCAGCGAGAAGTGGATGTTTACCAAATCTTCGTGGTCACAGCTCGCGCGATGGGTCTCGACTTTCACTGCTGCCCTCTACGGGATCTCTGCGTCACAGCTTCCCATAGCCAAGGTGATTAAAGTTGGTGCATCTCTCTTTCTTTACGCCACGGCGGCAGTGGCTTCCCCGATTTTCGCACAAGACTTTGCTCGGGATGTGCACGGAGCTTTCACAGCGTTGGTCTACACTTACGGACTGTTCTGGGGCGTTCCTTTTGTGCTGAGAGGACTGCTTTCGTTTCACCACTGCTTCGGGACCATGCTATCCCGAGTTTTCGAGGTACGTTCGTTCGTGAAGCCCACAGCACAGCTTGGTTTTACCACAGAGTGGCGATTCATCACGAGCAGTGCGTTAAGCACCTTGTCATCGCTTATGTGGGTGTTCTATAGCTCGTTTGAGGAACATCACCATGGACACTTCGTTATCTCTATCGTTGCTACTGTCTGCGGAGCGCTGCTTGGTGTGTGGCAGTTTCTACAGAAGAGTTGGAAGTAAAATATCGATTAATGACATAACTATAACAAATACAAATCTATAAGAAAGATTCCTTAAAGGGATCATCTTTCTTTGAAGACCATCCTCGATTCTTATTAGACTTTTGATCTTGGATTGTCTCGATTATTATTGTCACAGTTTCTAGCTTTGACCTAGGAAGTTTTACTATATCACCCCAAGTCCAACCTTCCCTGATTTTCACGTTGTTTATAATCAATACATCGGGCTCTTTGAAGTTGAAACTCTTTTTGATCCTTGCAATATCTATTTTCCAGTCTGGCCAAGCAATAAATCCAAATTTCTTGCCTTTTTCTGAAACTAACCAGATTATGCACATCTCTCTCTGAAAAGTCCTTTGATGATCTAGTTTTATACCACAAAAATAAGTATATTCTAGAATCTTCGAAGGAACCTATTTTTGGATTAATTTATTTGGTAAGAAAAATAAAGTCCTGATTTTGTTAATAGTTAAATATCAGCATTTCTTCAATCTGAAACTTTGACTCTTACATTTCCTTCCTTGTCTCTTATGAGTGTTCAAGGTGCATTGGTTAGTTTTGTAAGACATTAGCTTTATAGCCTATAATTTCTAGCTCCAAGTTCCTCCAAGTGAGCTTACCTGAATAGATACTTCCACCATGCTATGGAGATTCCTCAAATGGAGCACCTTGAGTGTTTTGACAGTTATCTCAACTATAACTGGATTGAGAACTTTGGAGTGGCTCATGGTCAATTCCTTTTGTTTCAGCATAGGATTAGGCTGAATCACTGTTACTATTTGAGAAGGTTTCAATTGATGTATTGGTGGACAATTTTCAGCAAAAGAGGTTTGGTGAGGAGAAAATAGATTACCAACTCCACTCCAAGCTTTTTGCATTCTGACAACATCATCAATAATCTGTAGTAGATTATATAGTCAAATTTAAGAAGTGTTGGAAGCTATGCTTGGCCAAGAGTATTGCGACATACAAGAAGCTTATCACCACAACTTTCATGCAAAGGTCGTAAGGTCGTAATCTCCGAACAAAGAATTTTCTTCACTATTTCACTGAGGGGGCACTCTGGATAAAAAAAAGAGAGAATCAAAATCAAAAGAGAACTTTCGTAAATGTCTGGAAAACCTCTCTTTGTTGTGGAGCAACATCTGTGACGAGAAAGAGGAGACTTCAGTACATACCCACCGTATTCAAGGTCTTCTTTCAGCCTTGCAAGTTGATCCGTGATACTGGCTATTCGCCTTGTTGCCGGACGTGGAGGATGATAAGCCAAGCTGCTTCTCCTCGGATCGTGGAGCTCAGCCTGGCACTTTGAGATCTTCCACCCGCTTCTCATGCGCGAAAAAGAGAATCTGCAAAGCAGTCTGCAGAGAAAATCTTCTTTCCATAGGATTGACCAACTTCAGCATAGGTGTATATGATATGGCGTTTCGTATTCAACTGAATATTCGGAAGCTTTTTGGATCAAACAAATTTGCTTGGCGGCGGCTTGACGCATCCAAGCCAGAAAAATACTCATGAAACATTTACAAAGTTCATGACAGCTATGGGACTTGACCCCACGCCCTTGAGGATTGGAGCCTAAGACCACTCGGCCAAGCTGTCATATATTTGGCAAATCATTCTATTCAATTAACAACGCTTCAACGGGAAGAGCTCACATCTTGTAATCACCAAAATCATTTCCCTGGTTTTTGTTCTAGTTGCTTCGTTTTCTTTCCTGGCCTGGAGCTTTCAGCCTCATCCTCTTCCTCCAGGTGAGCAGGAAGGAAATATCTTCTTTCAATCTACAGATGGATTCTTCAGAAGTTCGCGGATCTTCGGTCTTGATCGGGCGATGTCACTGCACCATGTCCAAGCTCCCACCATAAACTCCACGATCTGATGGAGTTTCTGAAGGGAGAGGTCTGTTTCCTCCTTCCAGACAACTGGAAAAACTAATAAGCACCAGAAAGACAGCTCCAACATACGCAGGTAAGAAAATTGAGCACTCAAGATATTAGATGCGTCGATGCGTATCCTCCAAGCGTTGCTTCAGAGATCGCCACTGCGATCACGATGGTGCTCAAAGGCGTATCGTCTTTGAGGACTGTAAGCGGCACCTTCAAATTTACTGGCTTAGAGAAAACTCGTAAATGCAGAGGTATGCGTACGCTAGGGAGGTGAGACGCTCAGATTTAAAACTAATGGCTTTTCAAGTTCCTGAGCGATTTCGATTTTCTTGTTTCTCGACAGATCAAGGACGCGAGGAAAGTTGGAAGAGATGTTCTAAAACACACTAAAGAATCCGGAAGCTTTTGCATAGGTTTGGATTTCCTCAATCTCATGGTTTTGTGCCAGCAGGCATCAAATTAGCATTCTTGGCCTATTTCGAAGGGTGTGAAGGAGAACAGGTGCGCAGCTATCTACATGGAACTTGTGAATTTAGTGCGATATTAATATCTATATTTAGTTTAAAATTTCAATATATACAGATTTTGGAAAAGGCATCATATTAGGTTATTAACAATGACATCATGCATCCTATGGGTTCTTGCGGGCTGGGAGATGGAGTCACAAAAGGAAGCTCGCAAGCTCAGGGAATCAGCACAAAGGTCGAAAAGAAAAACAGGATGGCTTCTCCGAGCGTTGCTGTCATTGTCGCAGAGGATGAGAAGAAAAGGCGATGGATCATCAAAATGATCAATTGTGGCTAGATTTTTTAAAGGATTGAATCGAGCGATGTTTTTTTTTATGTCTGTCTATAATGGTAGTGATGTTGGCAGCTGCTGGATTGTCATCAAAGAGGCGTCACCACCAGATCCATGCCCGCGTGCTAACGCAGGGAACAAAGGTGTGTTTGTGTAGCTTTATCCCATCCGCATCTGGATGTTGGCATGACATTTGACATCGAGGATCTTACAGAAGGCGTGATTCGTCATTCCTCCTCCGATGCCATAAGATCCATTGGCTATAAGGTTTAAAATTTAGATTAATGAAATAACTCTTTAAAGGGATCATTGATTGAACCATCTGCACAGTCTCTATCTTCGACTGAGGAATTCTATAATATCATCACACATCCATATTCCACTTTTCTGGATTTTTAAATTGTTTATAATCAATATTTCAAACTCCTCTTTTTGGTTTGCTTAAGCAAACTTATGGAAATATTCTTGGATATTCTAGAATTTTTTACCATCTAACAGTTGTTATTCATTTAGATTAATTTCGTATTTATAATTTATAAACATGTTTATAATCTATAAAATTTCTTAATCACTTTCTAGTATATTCTAGTTTATTCTCCCATCTAATGGTTGATTAATCTTGTGTTTATAAATTATAAAAATGTTTATAATTATAAAGTTCCACTATAAAGCAAACCATGGAACACACAGCAAATTATTCATTTTTGCAGTCGATTTTCAGATTATACACCGAAAATAACTAGTTTTAAACTTTATTTAAATATTTGCCTCTAGTCGTCAGTTTTAACAGTTGCGTATCGGATGCCGTTTTGATGCCCGTCAAATCTGACGTGTTTGTGACGTGCCAGACGGGCTGGTGTCAGGAACGCTAGAACAACAAAGTCTTGAAAGGCTGTTCACAACAGAGGAAGAGAAAGGCTTTTGACAACATTGTTCTTGAGTTGGCATTATGCTTCTCATTTTATCTTATCATTATTATTATATACGAATTATGGTTCTTTATTTTGTATATTTTAATAACAATATAACTAGCACCTATCAATGTTTCTCTTATTAGAGATATGATATTATTTTTTCCTTCTCATCAATATTTTGTACATATTTTATGGCACTCTGAGAACACTCTGTCATTCTCAACTCGGATTGGTCTTCGAAGATTTTAGCTGAATTTTAGTCCCATCCTACGATCGCAAAATCAGGCGTAATCAGCACGGTTGAGAGAAGGAAATACATGAAATCTGTATATAATTTACCAGCATGTCGCTGTTGGACAAGTTATCAAAGAGCGAACCCTCTACGACGAGCCATCCTCCGAGATTTACAGCATGAACCGGTGCCTGGCCTGTGACGAGTATGACTGTATCTCCTGAGAGAGCATCGACCAAAACCATAGAGGAAGAATCATAGAAAATTTATAGAACAGGTCTGCAATGCAAGCAGAACCAACAAGATGAGAGGTGGAGACATTTTCCTAATGATTCTGCTAAAGATTGTTCGTTTATAATGGGAATGACCGTGAAGGACCATGAGCTATAGACTGACTCCCACTACTTTTCTAATTGACTTACTAAACCTGCTTCACGCCTTTAGAAAAAGCCATGAGAATACCTGCTTCCTGGCCTCTCTCCTGCAACGCATTGAAAACAAAGCAGTAGGAACCAGCGGATCAAACTGCAAAATCCCGCTGTCCAAGATACTACTGTGGATGATCTTTGTTGCAACAATCTTTTCCTGACGCCCATTTCTCTAAACACTCGCACTTGCATCTCTGAAACTCCCATGTTAGCTGTAAGCAGCGATCATTACCGTCCAAGTTCCCAGTTCTTTTTTGAGGCAGCTTGTGAAACACGGCCTTTGCTCTTCCTTCTGGGAAAATTCGATGGACAGAGAGTTGATAGTCTTATGTTATCTGTAAGCAGCGATCATTACCGTCCAAGTCCCCAGTTCAAACACGGCCTTTGCGCCTTCCTACTGGGAAAATTTGATAATCAGAGACTTGACAGAAGCGCCACTCCACTGGGGCATGCTTAGAAAAATCCCCATTGCGCGATCAAGGAAGTTTTCCTAGGATATGCTTCAAAGGTCTTGCAAGCGTCTTCAATCCTTCCACTATCACCATAAACTGATACCATTGCGATCCAGGCAGATGAATCCCTCTGTGGCATCGGCGGCATCTTCTCAAACACTTCAGCCACCTCGCAACAATTCCCATGTTGGCCATATAGCACGGCAGGAGATTAGTTTTCTCCAGAATCTTGGGCTTCGTCACACTGGTGATAATCTCTGTAAGCTCTTAGCAAAAGAGTACTAGACACTACATTTGTTAATACTCTCAAACGCTTGGGACATATACACACTGATCAATGGTTGCTTTGTTGGACACAACCCTGGATCATCAAATTACAAGATGCCAGGAAATACTGCTCTGCAGCATCTTGTCAAAGACACTGGCTTGTGACAAGATCATCTTGTCAAAGATGATCACCAGAGCAGTATTTCCTGGACAAATCCTGAAATGAATTTAAAGGTCTCCCACTGGAATTTGCAAAGAATGAATAATTTATGGCCTTTAGTGTGTAAGAGAGTACTTTTCGAATCATCTAATTACCTTACTGAACCTGCTTTATGCCTTCGAGGTGCATTCTCTGGAAGAGTTTCAAAGCCTGTCTCTTGTGCCCGTTTGCAGCAAAAGCCGTGACAATACCAGACCATGCTTCCTGGCCTCGCTCCTGCAACCCATCGAAAACCAGCATTGATTCCTCGAACTGCTTGTAGCGAGCATACATCTCGATCAAAGCAATAGCAACCAGCGGATCAAACTGCAAAATCCCGCTGTCCAAGATACTATCGTGGATGATCTTCCCCTCGCAGGCGCTTCCACAAGCCTCTAAGATCCTCGCGAACGCCACTTTGTCGGGCTTGACGCCCTCCAAGTCCATTTCTCTAAACGCTTGCATCGCATCTCTGAAACTCCCATGTTGGCTGTAAACAGTGATCATTACCGTCCAAGTCCCCAGCTCTTTTTGAGGCAGCTCGTTAAACACGGCCTTTGCACCTCCAAGATCTCCCTTCTGGGAAAATGCGATGATCAGAGAGTTGACAGAAGCGGCACTCCACTGGGGCATGCTTAGAAAAATCCCCACTGCGCGATCGAGGTGCTCGGCTTGACAGTACGCTGCTACCATCCAGCTCCAAGCCAGAGAATTTTTCCTGGGAATTTCTTCAAAGGCCTTGCAAGCGTCTTCAATCCTTCCATTCTCACCATAAACTGATACCATTGCGATCCAGGCAGATAAATCCCTCTGCGGCATCTTCTCAAACACTTCAGCCGCCTCGTAAATATGCCCATTTTGGGCATATGCGTCAACCATAGCACTCCACGGCAGGAGATTCTTTTTCTCCATGCAATCAAACAGTTCTTGAGCTTCGTCACACAGGTGATTTTCTCCGTAAGCTCTTAGCATAAGCGTGGTAGACACTGCATTTTTCACAGGAATACTCTCAAACGCCAACGCTGCTTGGGGGATATACCCGTTTTGGGCATATCCCTGGATCATCGCATTACAAGATGCCAGGAAATGCTGCGGCATCTTGTCAAAGACACTCCCGGCTTGGAGGACAAATCCCGACCGCACGTATGCCTGCACCAGTGTCGTCCAACACACGGCATCTCTCCGAGGAACGTGGTCGAAGATATCCCGACATGCCTGGAGATTCCCAACCAGAGAATATCCCGAGATCAAGTGTGTCCAGGTGATGATATCCCTCTGGGGAGCGTCGTTGAGCAAACAGTGCGCCGTTTCTACCAGCGATAGACGACAGTAGCCACCGATGAGCGCATTCCAGGTGATTAGATCTCGCTGTGGCATCCGATCGAATAGGAGCTGGGAATAATCAAGATGCCCGCTGGAGGCGAGCGATTGTAATACTGCATTCCAAGAGGCTTCGTTCTTGGCAGGCATCGCGTCAAACAAGACTTTGGAAAATTCAGTCCCCAGATCCCCGCTGTCGGAATATGCAGAGATCATAGCGTTCCATGCAACAATATCACGAAATGGCATTAGATTGAAAAGGTCTTCGGCTTCGATAGTCTGGCCGTCTTGCGCAAGAGCTTTGATCATCAAAGTCCAGGTAATAACGTCCCGAAGATCCATTTGATCAAACACTCGCTTGGCATTGACAACATGCCCGTTTTGGGCATATGCTGCGATCATCGTGTTGCAAGAGATAGTGGTGGGCTTCTTAATCTGAAAGAACGTTGCGAATGCACTCACCACGTCCCCGAAATTTCCATACATCTGCACAAGATGGTTCTCCAAAAATGTGCGATCGCCTCGCCAATGCTGGAGAATATGGCCGTGGACGCACTTCCCCTCTTCTAGCGATTTGGAGGCTCCACATTTCTTGAGAAGATTTGCGTACGTTGCTGCATCCAAGGGAATGTTCCAGCTCTCGAGCGCCTGGATTGCATCCTTGAGGCTTTTGGAGTGCAACTGAGATGGATCTAATTCTACTTGGCAATTGCCACTGAGGACTCTACTGGCCAGTGTGGACCAGATCTCCCACTTTCCATGTCGAAGTGTCTCGCTCATCCATCGCAGGTAGCTTTCTGGAAGGCTACCAAGTGGTTTTCCAATGTGATGTCCAAAATCCAGCACCCGGTCTTTAATTAGCATGTATTCAAATGTTTTTAGCCATCTTACCTTTTCTGATTAAGAAGGCATTTTTATAAACATAAATATGTTTGTGATCTATATACACATTAATTATGTGAAAGGCTAGACTTGTTTCAAAAGCTGAGTTGCTGGTCTTTCACGGAGCCAATTAAAGAACAGCCTTCAGCAGAACCAACACCAAAAAACAAAAAGTCTCGCATCTTGTTTGTGCTCGCTCTTTGCATTGCAGGCTTGTTCTATACATCCTCTATGATCACAAACTCAAGCTTTTTCTTAATCCTCGGGCATTAATACTTGTCACAGGCGAGAGACACCAGTTCGTGCTGTAAATCTCGGAGTATGACTTGTCGTAGAGGCTGGATGCAACCATCTTTAGTAACTTGCCCAACGGCGACATGCTGGTATTTTAGATTTCCTTTTTTGTTCATATCCTCAATTTTCTTGGGCGAATCTCGTAGGATGGGACTATAATTCAGATAAGATATTTGAATACCAATGCATACATTCGAGTTCAAAATGACAGAGTGTTCATGGGCACGACATCCAGTAGCTTCAGAGTAGGCCATTTCTTTCTTATGGCTTTTTCACTTGAATTTGTAAGTTTAGGTATGGCGCGTCTCTCGTACAACGTTCCAGCTACGAAAGTAAAAGGAATGGAAAATTTCTCAAAGCACGGAGGAAGCTATCTTGCAACAAGCCAAGATGAAGAGATTGGGAGACCTTTACATTCATTCGCGGTGAGAATAACAAGGTCCATATCAAGGCATTCGACAATCTACACAGGCAAGTAAGTGGCTTTGTTTCTTCAATTGTGATTTCTCTGCTGTTCTCCATATCTTGTTTTGCCCCCCAGGCCACTGGTGATCAAGTGACTGCTGATTACAAAGGAGACCCAAGTTGGGAGAATTCCAATCCCGCAGTTTTCTACATGACCAAAACTGGGGATGCTCCACTTGGAGAATACCAGCTTAGCAATGCTTTCGATAGCCGTGCTGATGCATCTAGAGTCTTACAGGTGATATGATCAAGATGATCTAGCTGGAAATCAAACTCTCGTCATTTCAGGACCACAGAAACATGTTCATCAATTCAAATGATGTCTAGGAAGATCAACACAGTGAGGATTCTAGTGGGATGGTGGATTGGATCTGATCCAAGACCTCCTCCACCTTATGTAGCAGGCTCTCTTGCAGCTTTAGACAATGCTTTTACATGGGCAGAGTAAGAAAATGATTAGATCCATCTTTTTCTTTTCTCGATTTATTTTATAGGAGCACTGGCATTAAAATCATCATCGATCTCCACGCAGGTGAGGAAGCGCACAGTGACGAAACCTCAAAAACTGGAATCCCTCCGCATCGCTGGAAGCCATAGATTTTCTTTGCTAGGAATTGAGTTACTCAACGACCCCAAACATGGGCCTGTGACCTTTGAAGCTCTGAAAAGCTACTGGTCAGGAAATATTCCAGGGACGTGAAGGTTATCTTGTGCCAGTTTGTTCCGGGAGATTCCAAGGATGTTTCCAAACTCATGCCACCGGGTGCTTTAAATGTGGTCTTGGATGTTCATCCTTATACTGCCTACAGCAAACTGAGTTCAACCCAGGCAAACATCAACCATGTCAACACCTACTTCAAGAACATAATATCTTCTCTGAGCGCTGTGAATGGAGCCCAAGTCTTTGTTGGTAAGAAGAGTTGTTTGTGATCTGATGATAATATGGTGTCACCCAGGGGAATGGTCTTATCTTCGGGAGACGGGAACGATGCTAACTACATCAGGCTGGGTAAGGCACAACTGCAAGTGTTCACCAAAGCATCATTGACTTACCAGTCGTTCAGAAACTTTGATTACAGAAAGCAGTGGTCGTTCGAAAAGAGCACTTTACCATATTGAAATCAATAGTTGTGATTATTATTATATTGTTTTAATTATAACTCGATAATTATGATTAGTTAAAGAAAGTTTACAAAAAGAAGAAAGCATATATGAAATATAGATATATTATAAGCTTGACCGGTCAAAATAAATGTATGACCTTGTAGGCTTAGCGTGATCGATAGCAACTCCAACAGTGCCTATCATTCGATGAAAGAATGGGCAACCATTGGGCGGTGGTGGCCTATTAAAACGCCGCCAAAGGCGAATCCTTGTCGCTTTCCTACGCGTACGAAAGACAATGGCACCACGCTCCGTTCGTACAGCGTGAGGTAAGTTCTTTTTCCTTTCACCGTGGCCAGTTTCACATTTTTCGATATCTTTCCCGCCTCCTTCTGGCGCGCTTCATTGATCTTTAGGTCTTTTGGAGGCACCTCCATTTCTCTCGCCAAATCGGATCTGGCTCCTCTAGATTCATGGAAGATCAGTCCAAGAGCGCAAGAAAGAAGATCGAATCGATCAACAGCAGCAGCGCTGCCAGCGCTACTGCAGCCAGGAGTAGCAGCGGCGGCGGCGGCAAATCGTCCCGGAAGATCAAGAACAGCACCAAGGCGAAGAAAGAAGGGCGGTATCGCGGCGTGCGCAAGCGGCCGTGGGGCCGATTCGCGGCGGAGATTCGCGACCCTCGCACCAAGGAGCGGCGATGGCTGGGGACATTCGACACGGCCGAGGATGCGGCCCTGGCCTACGACATCGCGGCTCGATCGATGCGCGGCGCCAAGGCGCGCACCAATTTCTCGCACTACCAGCAGGAGGATAGCGTCCTCACGCTCGGCCTGGCGTCGTCGATGATCCAGTCGCTGGATAATCCGGAGATGATCAAGAAGGCCTCCTCAGCCTCCTCGCAGGGATGGGATCTTTCGCGCCTCAACGGCGGCGCCGTGGAGCTCACGGAGCTCGATCTATCGCCGCCAGCTCCGGCACCGCAGCAGCAGCGATCATCGCCGGGCAAGCGCGACTCCAAGCCGGCGCAGGCTGCTCTTCCCAAGCAATGGCGCATGTACCAGAGGCTGTGCGCTCAAAGGCTCTTTGGCGATGGCGATCACCAGGTCAGGAATTTCAACACGACGATCGACAGCAGAGATGTATCGCCCTCCCCGCCCAAGAGGATGCGATCGAGCAAGGCCTTGCCCCTGGCGGCGCAGCCGGCTAGCGGCGATCGAAATATCGCCGCTAGCCAAGAAATGGGAACGAAGTCGCCGCCAGCGCCGGCGATATCACTGTGCCCACTCTCGGAGATCCTGAGCTGCAGCGCCAGTAGCAGCAGCAGCAATCACCACCGCACCGACGTTCTTCTTCCGCGATTGGAGCAGCCGAGCGGGGGATCCTCGCTGCCCACGTCCGAGGTGTGTAGCCCCGCGAATTCGTCCGATCGCCACCACTACCACCACTCCCAGGAGCAGCAGCATTCTTCCTCGCTGCTGTCACAGAGCTTGTACGAGGTTTGCTCTGCCGCCATCGCTTGGAATTCCCCCAAGCCCAATCCCGCGAGGTTTGGAGGAGTGGAGTCCTCCTCGGCAGTAGCGGTTTCGTCCGAGGTTTCCAGCCCGGCGAGCTCCGAGATCCATCACAAGCGCGACCGCGATCACGAACGCAATCACTACCAGGTTCTCGGGAATCACTACTCTTCTACATCCTCGCTTGATCATCATCACAGCGTCGCGGGTATCAGTCACTCATCGCTCCATCATCCCGGTTTCTTCGCGAGCCAGCTCCACCATCAAAGTCCAGTGATGATGGATCATCAGGCCCAGCAGGCTCACGGTTGGGATCATCATCATCATCAGCAGCTCAGCGATCTCAACAGTAACAATCTCCATCGCGATGATCACACTCATCATCACCACCACCACCACCACCTTTTCCATCATCAGCAACATCACCAGCTCCACCAACAGCAACAGCACCACGATCTGGCACTGCTCCTCGCGGACATGCCACCCATCCCCGAGAATTTGCTCCACGATCTCCAGCTCCTGCCCGATCTCGATTTCTCGTCGCCATCGGCAGCATCCAGATTCCAGTTTCACTAGCTCGAATCAAGCTCTTGACAAGGAGAGGAAAAGAAAAAAGAAGCAAAGAGGTTGTAACAGGCTCAAAGTTTTTTGCGCCACCATTCAAAGTTTTCTGTTTTGCTCTGTTTCGCGTAATTTTTTTAAATTTAGGGTTCTTGCTAAACTAGGTCTGGCCACTTTAATAAATTCCGCACCACCACCTTTCTTTTTCAAAGCAGTCAAACTGAAAGAAAAAGAATGCCTTGATTGTTAAAACAGTGGGAGTTCTCTGCAACAAACTATAACCCACTGTCTCGATTCCGTTGTTACCAGCTTCTGGCCCAGTGAGAGAGAGGAGAACCTTCTCATTCATGGTGCCGAAATCCCAAGAACAGGAACAGGCAATTAATTCCCTAGAAGAGAGTGAAAGAAACAAAAAGAAAAAAAAGCTCGTTTTCGCTATCTTGAAAGACAATAACTTCGCAAATTCGCTGTGTGTCGAGCTGTTTGCTGCGAAAGAGAACCTCGAGATGGAAGCAATGGAGAAAGAGAGAACTTGCCTTTCGCTGGCTCGCTGGCTGGTCTTTCGGGAGTAATAAATCAATCGTTGCGTCGCCGAGGAGAGAGAGAGAGCGAAGAACTTGTCGTCGTGTTGGTGATGGATTTGATTGGACTCTTTTCAATCGGTCGCTGATTCGTAGCTGTTCTATCTCCCCGCGCGAACTATTTTTTTTGTCTTTCGATCTTTTCGGTCAGTTCTGGCATCGGACTTGGTGGTGTTGAGGCCTCAAAGTCGGCTGGTGCTGGTGCCGCGGCCGTTGCATTCGCTTGCGCCGAGTTACGTCGCCCCACAACCAAGTGTGCTGCGTTTGAGCCGCGGCGGCGGCGCTGCTGCTAGTACTCTGAGACAAACTCCTCGATTTCCTTGGCGGCGGCGGCGTCGCTGCTGTCGTTCTTGTCATCGTCTCAACGGCACTCCCGTTTGAATGCACCGACTCGCGCAAGCTGCTCCTGCGCGTCCGGGAGCACATCACCCCTTCTTCTTCTTCGTCGTCTTCTTCTTCGCTCTGTTCTTCTTCAACTTCTTCTGCCGCCACCACCTCGATCTTCTTCTTTCGCCTCCGCTTCTTGTAGTGCTGATGATCCTTTTCTTTCGTTGCACTCGACAGGGTCCGCTGGAACAGTGCCGCGATCGTCTTGCCTTTGCTCAGAGACTGATCGTCGTCGCTGACAACGAACTTCCTGCCAGACTTCGTCAGCTTCCCACCGCTCTGCTGCTTGAGCATCGTCACCACCGACTTGAAAAGCTTCAAGTCGGACACTCCAGGCTTGCTTGCACCCTCGACGTCGCGGTTCTTGCACAGCTTGACTGTCGCGGTGGAGCAACGAGGAGAAAAGCTGAGTAGAATTGTCGCTGCCCAAGTTATGGTGTCGCTGATAGTCACAAGGTCCAAAGAATCCTCCATTGACATCGTCCTAGCCTTGCTTAATCCTACCTTGCTAAGTCCCTCCTTTGCCACCGAGTTGATCACTACTGAATTAGTTGTCGAAGCATCCTGGAGCTCGAGGTTTCTAGCCAAATCCTCTGTACACGAAGTCCCAGCTCCTAATACTCTGTTCTTCTCAGTAACCTTGCTGTCAATCTTCACTTCCTCGCCAACTTCGCTGCTGGTTTTTCTTCTACTCAACGATTTCTCGCTGTCGACGGCGTGAGTGATGTTGCTTACAATAGTGGCCGTATCGGGCTTTAGAGGTAGATTGTTCTCGACGAGAGGAGGCAGCGGCTTGCTGGGAATGTTGTTGGCGGAAGAAAACCACGAGGTTCTGGAGGAAAGGTTGCTCTGATTGTGGCCGATGAATGTGTTGTTCTTGAGGATTTCTTGCGTGATGTACGAGTAAGGCTGCCATGACGGTGCAAAGCTCTTTTCTACGCCAGCGTTTCCATTCGCGTAGCTTTTGGACGCCATAATCATCATCTCAGGAATGGCCGCGAAAGAGTTGTAGCCATAGTTTTCTGCTTGATAGCTTTGGCCTGAACAAGAAACGACGGAAAAAACTTAGGCCAAAAAACACGAGAGGAGAGAGAGAGAGAGAGAGAGAGAGAGAGAGAGGATTCTACCTGTAATCTGAAAAACGTTCCATGGATCACCGACTTGCGCTGTTCTTCCAAAATTCTGCATTGACTAGACTTGATTAGTATACAGACATACAGACAAAGATACGAAACGCAAACAGGCATACCTGGCTGATCCATGACTGGTTTTGGTGCTGCCACTCCAGTCCATTCTTTGCTGCCGGGAAAGAGGCCCATTGACGATCATCCGAATCTTCCCTGCTGCGGGGAAGAGTTGGAAACAACGCCATCTCTTGCAAAGGCCTGGATGGCTGCTCGTCCTCCAGCTTAATTTCCCGCAAGTTTGTATGACTCGAGTCCCTTCCGGATTTCCCCGAGAAGTTCATCGTGGGATCAGCTGGGAGAGAGTTCCTCGCTCGAGAGGACGTATCGAACACGTACTCGGTGTCCTCGTCATTGTCGTCAGGAATTTGCTCCAAGTCAAACGTCTTTTGCCTCTTTGCTCGCCTACTAAAACCGCTGCTATCAATGCGATCCTCCTCTAGGCTGTGGAGGAGATCCCTTGTACCGCAGCGCTGATCCCGAGAAGGATTTATCACTCCCATGTCCGTCATGAGAATTTTCTGCCTCTGGTACAGCCGATGCAATTCACGCACCTATCAAGAACATTCAACCAAAGAAAAAGAGGAAAAGAATCGCTCAAGAAAGGTAAAGAAAGCGGAAAAAAAGAAAAAAATTGGAGAATCAATGTACCTGCTGTGTGAAGACTAGCTCCTGGCGAAGCATCGTCTCTCGCAGAAGCTCAATTTCATCCATGGCTAGAGCAGCCAAATCTTCCTGCCAAGAAAAAAGAAAGGGAAAAAGAAAAGCAAGGAAGAACGTGAGAGAAAGAAAAGTCTAAAATTCTGGTCCCAGCCCCCAATTTGCTTGCAAAAGATCCAGAGACAAGAACTATGCCCAGGAAATCATGCGAATTTCAAGCCAAGCCACCACCGCCCTACCTCTGGAACTGGAATGCGCAGCGGCGGATCCACGCCGCGGCGCCGCTACAATCCGCCTCGATTCACGCCTTCTTGCGCTTCTTGGCGGCGATTCGCGGAGGAAGAAGAAGAAGAATCGAAGAGATCCCCCCAAAATCTCCGTCGCCGTCGTCGTCTGGCGCCGCAGGAGCCCCTGGACGGCATCTAGGCGCGGATCGAGCGCCCAGCAGCTGGATAAACAAGGCGAGGAGAAGATGCCACGAAAGATCTGAGCGGAGAGCGAGAGCGCTTGGCTTGCTTGTGTCAGTCAGAGAATTCACCACAGTGGACAAGGGGCCACCACTCTCTACACGCAATCCTTGTTTATCAGCTTAATCCCACACCAGATTAGGGCTAAGCGCCCCCACGATTAGCGGGTAAGCCGAATCTAGGGGCATTCGCCCGACATCCGCTGCTGACGCGGCCTCCGCGCGGACGTGGTGCGTGACGTGTTTGCCAGCGAGGAGAGAGAGAGTGAGCGCTACTCAATCCCTTTTTTTTTGCCTTTTTTGTTCTCTCTATTTTTTTTTTCCTTCATTACAAAATCGCGACTTTCGATGGATCGCTTCTTTCCGTAGGGGCGGTGTTCTTAACGTACAAATCGAATCGATCGATTATTTGCGGAGATGGGATGATGGAATGGTGAGTTTTTCTCTCCTTTTTTTTTCGCTCTTTCTGGCGTGGTGTGATCTTCGTTGTTCGTTCGTCGTCGTTATCATCTTGCTTGCTTTTCTAGCTTTGTATAGCCAGCAGCTTTTTCATTTTCTCGTAGACCACGTAAGTGATGCTCGCGGCCGGAGCGACCTTGCACAGGTTTGGGACGAGGCCCTTGTAGAAGGCTGTCACGCCCTCGTGCTCGAGCGTTCTCTTAAATACGTCTTTCATGCCTTTGTACCGCATGGGAGAGTTCAAAGGCTGGGCCTGTAATCTACACCAAAAAGAGGAAGAAAGTTTCTCAGAAGAGAGAGCGTAGTGATTGCTTGCCTTGTGCGGATGAGCTGCAAAGGATACACTGATGTCGCTCCGATCGCTCCAGAGATTGTTCCACACGCGAGTTGCGTCAATGGACCCGGCTCTGAAACGCTGAAGCTCAGTAAGAAACGACACGAGGAAAGCATGTCATACTTGCGAATCAAACGCTCTCTAGCTTACCAGTGCCTTCCGGGAGTATCGATCTGGATAAGTCCTTGAGTGTCTCATACATCGCCAAGTCGATCCCCGCGTAAGGGATGATCCCAACCAGCGACGGCACAAGACCCCGGTAGAACGACAAGAACCCCTCGTGAGCGTACATGTCCCGGACGAGGCTGCTCATCTGAGACTTCCGGGACAAAACTTGCAGCCTCGTCTTCACCACGTCCAGGGGATAAACCACCGTTTGAGCAATCGCACCCGCGGCTCCACCCGCAAAGAGCCTCCCGAGAGGACCAATCTCCGACTTTTGCTCCCCCTGGATCTTGGCGGCCACCTCTTTGAGCATCTCAAACGCGTAGAACTTGACAGCGCTCTCTGGAGCGACCTTGAGAACGTTGATTCCGTTTCCAACGTAGAATCCAGCCATGCCACCCTCGGTGTATATCTGCTTGAGGCCCTGGAAGAGATTGGGCCTAGCTCGTCTCTCGGTCTGGACCTGGAGGATAACTTTGAGCCGGTCGAGCGGAGCGGTGGCGGTCCGGGACACTGCTCCCGCAACTCCGCCCGCGATGAAGTACCTGGAAGCGTATAAGTGTCGGCTGATCCCTTCCGGGATGATGGCCTGTTCTCCGATATCAATCTGGCAAACCTTCTCCCAGTACTGATAAACTTCCGTGATCGTCCCGGCGTGAGGAGAGAGCAGCAAGAAATCCCTCCACTCCTCGAAAGTGATGATCCCGTTGTTGTCACGGTCGACGTGATCCATGAACTTGGAGAGGTTTCGATCGGAAAGATGGATGCCTGCGCAGCCAAGCAAAGCAAAGCACAAAGAAGAGTGAGAACACTAGCCTGGGAGGAACTCACTCTTTCTTCGCTTACCTGCATTCTTAAGAGCGTCGCGAAGCTCTTCCGGATGGATGTAGCCATCGTTGGTCACGTCGATCTGCTGGAACATATGGTAGAGCTCCAGCTCCTTCTCGTCGATGTAGCGGCGAAACTCGAGGAAATCCACACGCCCGTCGTGGTTGGCATCGCACACCTGGAGGAGATCCTGCGCGAACTTGTAGTGCGAGGGGATGGACATGGTCTTGAGGCGCTGCTCGATCTGGCCGTGGTCCAGGAAGCCCGATTTGCTGGAATCGAAGAGGGCGAACAGATTCCGGATCCTCCCCTCGCGCTGCTCGCCAGTCTCGTCCAGGGCCAGCTCCACTTCCCTTAGGGTCACCGCGGGCGCTGGGAATTGTTGCTTCACCGATTGCGCTGGCGATGGCGCTGGCGATGGAGGATTCAGCCCGTGGACGCGGAAATCCTTGCTCGCCTGCTGGACCTCCGCCAGGCTCACTGGCTCGCTGGCCGCGGCCATAGCTTCGATCTTGCCCTTGCGGATCCTCCTGCGGGCTTACCGATCGACGCCGCGGTAGAGAATGCTCGATCGCTTCACGCCATCGCCTCCATTCCCTCTCCTCGTCCTCTCCATACTGGTCCAGCCTTTCGCCAACACTCTCCCTTTTTCCAACACACGTTTAAAATTCGCCTTTTACCCCAAATTAAGCTCTCCGTACAACACCACCCTACCCGTACATGCACCGTACGTACGTATAACGCGCTAAGAGACCTCTGTGTTTTTTAAGCTGTTCATCATCTTTCACAAAAAAAACGCTCCCGAGAATGGAGAACGAGAACGGACGAACGGGACGAAGGAACGATTTGGCAACTTGGCGTCGCCGCTTCCTCGAAAACTTTTCGCAGTCTTTTGTTCGTCGTCGCTCCAAATTCACATGAAATCGAACTCGTCGACGTCGTCATACGCCGTCGAGTAATTGTCCTCGTCGGCTTTGTCAACATGGAGCTGCTTTTTCTTCGCTCCTGAAGAAGATCAAAGTTAAGCGTGTGAGAAGCTTCGCCGCTAGCAAAACTCGTGACTCGCTAGAGAGACTAGAAACTAGAGACTGTGAAAAAGAAAAGGCTTTCTTTTCCTTACCTCCTTTCTTCTTCCCGGCCGAGTCCTTCTCCGCTTTCAACTTCTCGTTAGCGATGACTGTCACAGCCGACGCAACTTCCTTCACGTCGGCCGCCTTCATTGACGCCGTCGCGGTCTTCAGCAGCGTCTTGAGCATTGTCATGTAATGGTAACTCGTCTGGGAGAAAAGAGGACAAACGCGTGAGAAGACGAGAGAATTTCACACCGAAGGACGCACCTCATAATTCTTTAGCTCGCGAGCAACGAGATCCGCGTACTCTATAAAGTCCGCTTCCGATTTTGGGAGGAAGCCTTCGAAAGGCCGGCCCCGGCTTTCCTTGCCAAAGAGTTCTGTCGTCACTTGATAATCAGCCTCTTCAACAAGTCTACAGGGAAACCACAATCAGCAAAAGTAAATATCCATTTTTCCTCGAAAAGATCCAACCGAGAAAAAACAAAGCGAGAAGAGAAGAAAAAGAGCACCTTTGTTGTTTAAGCTTCTCGGCCAAAGGATCAGATGGCGCTTGTTCTTCTGGTTTTTGCTCTTGTGGAGCGGCGGGCACCGATTTCTTTCCTTTCTTGTCGGTTTTCTCAGCTTTCTCGGCTTTCTCGGCTTTCTCGGCCTTGGGAGGCTTTGGAGCTGGTGCCTGATCAAAAGGAATTCCCCTTAAGGACGATAAATCGAGAGAACACGAACAAACTCACCGGCTTTTCCTCCTCATCCTCCCATGATTCCTTCACTTGAGCTTCCTCCTCCTTGTCTTCGTCGTCCCACTGGGATTTCGGCTGCTCCCTGGAGACAATAGGCGGCGGCGGAACGAAATCTTCGGCGTCTGCGAAGGGAAGACGAAGAAGAAGATGATAGAGCTAGAAACGCGATCGATCTCATCGCGCCACGAGCAGAATCACTCACCCCAATCGTCATCCATTGCGTCGACCCTCTCCCCCCCACGCGCGAAAGCCCGCCCTAGTTCTCCAAAACCCTAGATCACTCCCAACGATAAAACCATAGACCCGATATATTATTTTTTCTCAGAACTCCATCTCCATCTCTACCAGCCGCCACTGTTGACGCCCGCACCATCGCCTCCAGCGATCGTTGCTCCTCCTCCCCAGCCAAGATCTCGAGCACTGCCACTGGCGCCAGGAATTTCTCCAGTAGTTCCTCCTCCTCCCCAGCCAAAACTGGAGCTTTCCTCTCGCTTCTTTGGAGAAGATCCGCCATCGCCATTCTCCTCTCCAGCGCCACCTCCTCCACAGCCGCCAGTGCTCGCGTTTCCTTTCGCAGGGACTCGATCATCTTCTTCTCCATTGGTGCCAAAACCGGAGCTTGCTCCTCCTCCATGCTCGTTTGTTTCACCACCAGCGTTAGCAGGAGTTTCTTCTCCGGTGCTACCACCCCGCGTAGCGTTTTGATCGCGAGTTTTTCCACTGCCCCAGCCATTTCCACCACCGTCTTCGGTGTTCCAGCCTCCGCCACCATTGTCGCCAGTGTTCCACCCTCCACCATCGTTGCTGGTAACTCCACCACCGTTGTCACCGCCGGTGTTCCAGCCTCCACCACCATCGTCAGCGTTCCAGCCACCGCCATTGTCACCATTTTCCCGGGGATTTCTACCACCTCGAGGTTGTTGCAGTGCTGTACCGTCCAACGAAGCTATGATCTGTGCTTCCACTGCCGAAAGAAAAAAGATGTTACAAACAGAGAAATCAGGACTTGATGGACTTGCCTGTGACTTCTTTGAGCAATGCACGAAGAAAGACGTGCACGATGTTTCTGTAAGCGCGCACTACTCGGCCTTTCAGGCCTTTGTAGCTGCCTCGAGTAACTTTTACCTCTTTTCCAACCAGCTCATGCGTCTTCCTCGGAGGAGCACCTACAAGAACGCAAGAAAAAAAACACGAGATGATTTTGCAGTCGAAGAGAAGACTGTGTGATTACCGGTCTTGAAATTCGCCATGAGAAAACCTTTCACCTGTTGGTTTTTGTAAGAACCCGGAACATCGAAGGAGATAAACGAGAATTTGCTACCTCTTCAAGCACGCAAGAGCGTGCATGAGCGCAGAAGTTCCCTTGATTATCCGCGTGGTCTGCATTGTGAACGAAAAGGAAGTCCTGGTAGATGTGTTTCACAGTGCCTCGACTTTCCTGAGAAAACCACAGCCCGCGCGAATCACGAATCGCAAAAAGAAGAGAAAAGTAAAAGGCTTTGTGGAACTTTACCGAGAGAGGACCCTCCTGTACGCGGACCATGCTGTCCAGGCGAACAATCTTCGAGGTAGCGTCTCTTGCTGTAGCATTTTCATCCACGAGTTTCTTTTGGATGTTCCTGGCCTTGACGTTCACCACTTCTTGTTCGATCTCTCCTTTCAGGATCTGATGAGCTTAGTTTGATAAGTTGGAAGAACAAAAGAGAAAATCACCTCGACTGAGTTATCAGCCCCCTCGATCTTAAGAATGATCCCGAAAGTGGATTGGCTGCAAGTAATAGAATCGATAAAACTTTGCGAAAACAAAATCAGCTAGCCTTACTCTATAAGCACGAGATCTCCTTCATTGAACTGTCCGGCGGATATCTCGGATGGCGTGAGAACTTCTCCAAGACATTTCCGTGGCACTTCGATCTGCATATCCATATCCAGCTCGAAGAAAAACTTGAGAAAAAGAGGAGAGAACTCACATTTTCCGTGATCAAGTCGCAGCGTAGCACAACGTGATCGCTTTCAAGCTTCACTATCATCCCCGTCCGGCCTTCGTGCTCCCCGGATGCTACACGGATGTGGTTCGCAACCTCGTACACTCTCTCGAGCTGGTTCTTGTGTGCTCGCACAAATTTCTGCTAGCAGAAAACTTTCAGAAAAAAAAAAGAGTGAAACAAAGACATACCCGATCATCCGCCAAGACGTAGACCGCATCGCCATCAACTTTGGTTACTCTTCCTATGGTACCTCGGAGTTCACCGTCGATCACCTGGACTTTCTCATCCTTCTTAAGGCTGGAGTCATGGATTCTCGGTTCTTCGGGAACATATGCCTTGGATTTTCCAGCGTCGCTCCTCGCCTTTGCCTTTCCCTTCGACTTCCCAGCATCCTCTTTCGCCTTTCCCTTCGCAGCGCTTTTAGTCTTCCTGGCTTTCTTCTTCGGCCGCAAATCTTCCTCTTCGTCAGGCTCCTGGATTTGGTGCGGATCCATGAAGAAGTCGAGCTCTCTCTTCGTCGGCGTGATAGCAGTCACGGATTTGGACTGCACAAGCGTGATCAGATAGCCGTCCCAGAACTCCATCCTGGAAGATTTGCAGACTGTTCTTCCCTTCTCCCTCTTTACAGGGAAACCGAGTTTCCTGCGGAAAAAACACAAGTGTGAGAAAATGGTGGCGACTGAGAGGTCTTACTGGGCATGTTCCGGAGTGAAAAGCCCCGGCTTGTTCTTCTTGAGGTGAAAACCCTTCGTTTTGTACTGCAAGAGCAAGAAGATCACTGGTTTTGCGACACCAATGAACAAACTTACCTTGCAAACGTCGATCCTCGGCACCAGCTTGACACGAAGTTTTTTAAGATGGTCTCGAACTTCCACGACCTGGAAAGAAGCCTTAGTGTGGCTGACTTGTATCGGTTTTCTTTCTTCACCTGAGCAATGTCACCATTGTAAATCCCTCCCTTCACTCGCACCCAATCCTTCACGGAAAACTCGCAAGCGCTACGAGAGCTCTCGCCAACGAGTACTTCGCGATTCTCATTGCGGAGAATCTCTTGCACGGTTTCGTCCGAGACGGGAGTTATCTTCTTGAGAAGTAGCAAATTAAGGCCTTGGCATGCCTGGAAGAACAAAAGAAAGTATAGAAACTGATCTCAAACAAAAAAAAACTTACCTTTCGAATGTGTGCTTCGGACTCGGCCTCGATGATAACAATCCCTTCGCACGACTTATCAGGAGCGATGGCGCACTTGACGAGCACAGCTGTGCTTTCCGAGTCATTTATCTGTGCAAAGATCGAGGCCGCGGCATCCTCCGCCAACCCGTGCTGAAAGGAGAAGTAAAAGAACACCACACACAAGAAAAAAAAATCGAGACAAGAAGCTCACTGAGATATCAAGGAATCAGCATTACCTTGCATTTCACCGTCCAAAACCTGGGCTTGGATCTTCCATCCTCTTCTTCTTCATCATCGCTTTCGTCTTCCTCTTCTTGTTCTTCTTCCGGACTTCCTTCCTCTTGCCCTCTCTTCATTCGCTTGACGGCGCTAACGTCGATGAAGTTGTCGATCGATACTGCAAACAGGGAGCGCAAGAGCCAGCAAGCGAGAAATGCATCGATCAAAACCATGCAAGAAAGGACAAAACTTACTGCTCTGTTCTTCTTTTTCATCTTCTTCTTCTTCCGGTTCTTCCTCATCGTTGTCTGGCTCAACTGGGCTCTTGCGCTTCTCGAAGCCCACATACCCCATGATCGCGATCGCGAGGAAACCCACCCAAAACCCCGATTCTCCAAAAGGCGAAACGAACTAATAAGCTATATGCCAAGTGACCAACAAGAACTCGATAGATGGTACGAGGGCGTCACATCAAAGGAG